GTTTCCTGACAGTTCTGGCGGCCAGTCTGAAATTCTTTTAGCTAGAAGCATCTGCCGGAAAAACCATGCCATTATCGACAAAAATCAGCGGGAGCTATGCAAAAAACCCCATCGTCGCGCAAGCAACCCGTGCGCTGGCCAATTATCAATACTTTTTTTGATTCAGCATCACTCAAAATTGTGCCTTTTTAGGCGAAGGTACCATGTAGTGATCGATGTAAATGTATAACTTGTCAGAACACTGAAGCCGATCGTGCAGCACGTTTTCCAAACCAAAAAATCACCCCGATTTTGATGGAGTCTCGAGCGACAGTTGCAGCAAATCGTGCAGAGGCACGGAATTTCCCCACTACATACAGCGATGATGACAGTGATGATGAATACGATGAATACCGGAAACCGAAAGATCCCAAAACGTAAGCACTCATGAATGTCAACATTTCAAATTTTGGTACCGGAAACTCACGGAAATTTGATAATTTTAACAGATGCCGCTTTGTTGCTTCTGCTCTTTTGCCATTTTTTCGACTTTGAGCTCGCCTTGTCCATGTAAATGTACGAATGAACAAGTGGATCCTGTCACTTTTTATGCGTTTTTTGCAGCTATGCAATGCCTTACGCATATTGACGAGGGGTTGTCTGTGTGTGTGTGTGTCTGTGTATTCGTCTGTGCCGATTTTTTATCTCGAGACCGGCAAAAGCTACAGGGCTGAAACTTTGGAGACATAATCTGCATGCACATACTGGCCCCCATCCCCGAAATGGGCGGTCTTACACGCGTGGTACTCACGTAAGAACCCGCCAAAATTTTTCTCAGTTAAATTGATAACTCGCGAACCAGAAAAGCTAGAAAGCTGAAATCGTAAGAGGATGTTCTCTTTCCAAGTAAGTCTCAACGAGCTCATACCCAGACATCGGGTATGCGTGGTACTCGCGTGCGGGCTCGTGGAAGTTTTTCTCCGGTAAGTTGCTAACTCAGGAGCCAGGAAATTAGAAAGCGGAAATTTTACGGGGATGTTCCCTGCTAGTTCTGGCGACCATTCTTAATTTGTTTAGCTAGAAACATTTGCCGAATAAGCCGGTGCCGGTAGCAACAAAAATTGCGGGGAACTATGCAAAAAACGCATCTTCGCACGGGCAGCCCGTGCGTTGGCCAATTATTTGTCTGCTGAGTTAAAAGGGGATTAATTCTAGTACCGCATATGTACGATGAACCGAAGGAGCCAAATAGGGTGCCAGACCAAAGTGGGAACAAAAAACGGTTTATTACAGCAAACGATGACACGGAATAGGACGAGCGATTGACGAATCACCAGTACTGATGTGAATAGATAGTTGACGTAGGGCACACAGTCGATAAACGTGGACGAAGAATACACGCGGGTCTCTAATCGTCCGTCTTATATACAGATGTCCCTGTAATGAATATCACACATTGCAATCTCCAATACAGCTTTCATCCAGAATTACAAAATGGATGCCATGGAAACTAGGGATGGATTGCACCGTCATAGATTCAATCTATGATGGGAAAGTTGGCGAGGGAAAAGGTGGATTGGGAGCGGAGAGTCGGATCCCTGTCGGATATTTGATCTCCGTTGGGAACGTCGCTTCCCGACGTCCATCTGGAATGTCATCAAAAGATGACTCAGCTTTTTATTTTATTTTTGTGTTTTATAATCTGGATTGGAGGGTGGGGAGGCAAGGCGAGGACTTCGCCTTTACACTGATATTTGTTAGACAACTCTTAGTTTACGATCCGTTCCGCATTTATCCAAATGTAATCTCTCATCTACTTTTGTTTCTCAAATACGTCGAGGGCATTGCATGGTATTTGATAGATTTTCTGGAGAGGGTGGTTCGTAAGTCATCTGTACTTTATTGTAGGTGTATGTTAAAAAATCACAAATCCAGGTTGGAACGCACCAGGCTCTCCGATGCGATCCTGCATTTTTGCACTAAACTAGCTGATCGCAATTAGCAGGAATGATCCCTACGCTGTAGCCTAACACTTGGGTCATATTGGCGTGCTTTGGTCCTTTTCGGCATGCAGGAGGAAGGGCGTCAGTTGGGATGAGGTAGTACATTATAGAGCCACACGGACATCCAAGTGCATGATTACCGGTTTTTTGCATGAAGTCCGGCCGTTTTTTTCGGTAAATGCTCGCTTTGTGAAAAAATGAC